GGAGCTGGCAGAGCTCTTGTGAGTAGATGACAGGCTTCTGGAAGAGTCTGTGTGTTGGGGAGGGGAGGGGAGGATTTGTTTGACCATTAGATATCCCTGGATCCAATTTCCCCTCCTCACTACCAAGCTCTGTATGTGGTTGCTGGGCATACAAAGATGACTTATGGGTCCCTGCCCTCTAGGGGTGCCCAGTCTCCTGGGAGAGAAAGGTATGAAAACAGCAAGGCAGGTCCAGGTCTAAGAGGGGACAGTGGTAACTGTCCTTTACCTCTGCCTCTGAGGTGGAAGGCAGGTATTCTATAGAAGACCTGCCTATGGCATTCCAGACAGGGGGAGTTTACATTTGCAAAGGTAATGAGGTGGGAAAGGGCAAGTTAAATTCAGGGAGAATATAAGATTCCTTCAGTGTAAGCTTCTTGAGGAAGAGCAAGGATTTTGTCTGTTTTGGTCTCTGGTGTGTCCCAAGTGGCTGGGATGCAATAGGCGCTCAATATACTGTGGCTGTGGAGGACAGGGGTAGGATAGGAACACAGAATGATAGAATCAGGGCTGGGAAGTAATGGAGTTTGGACAGAACACCTGACCAGATTTGAATGGTAGAAAGGGTCACTGTGTCTGCAGGGTGCATTGGATCCCCAAGAGAATTGGGTCAGGGGAGACCAGTGAGGAAGCTGGTGTAGATAAGGCAAAAGGTGGTGAGACCTAAGTCAGGGCAGTCACTGTGGGATGGACAAATGAGGGCACTGATGTGTGTGAGGGCAAGCCATTTGTTCATTACAGATTCAAGACCACCATCTGTGTGCTATGTCCTCTAGAATCGAGATAAGGCCTTGAACAAGATAGACACAGTTCCTACCATCACGGTGCAAGGAGACTGACAATAGATAAGTGAACTAATTTTAAAAGATGTGGAATTGTCACAAGTTCTATGAGGAAAGTAACACAAGGTGATGAGAAAGAAGGTAACAGAAGGGAGAAGGCTTTTCTGAGGAGGTGACATCTGAGCTGAGACCTGAGTAACAGCCAGCCATGGGAAGGATGGGGGGAAGAGCATTCAAGCCAGAGGGAGCAGTACCTGTGACAGTTTGGCCCATTTGCAAGGCAGAAAAGGCCAGAGTGGCTTTAGGTGGGGAGTGAGAGGGAGCATGGTGGATAATGACACTGGAAGAAGCAGGAGAGTCAGTTCATGCAGGACCTGGAGGGCATGGTAGGAGTTTGGATGTTATTCCAAGCACACTTGGGGGAGCTTTAAGCAGGGGAGGGACAAAATGTAATTTGTGCTTTTAAAAGATGGTGCAGGGTAAGAGTAGAAGATGAGTTAGAGGCTTCTGCAGTGGTCCAGGTCTGAGGTTTAGTCTGGGGTGGCAGTGGCTAAGGCCGGCACGGGAGGAGTAGAATTGTGTCTCGATAAGTGAAGTGTCCTTTTGGCTACTCCTTGGCTCAGGTAGGGACACAGAGGTCTGGGTGAATCATCTGATGGGGTCTCTTCCCCACCATGAAGATTCCAGGGCCTAGCTGGGTTGACTTGTCTTTGGAGGAACTTCCTAGGAGGTGGGAGTTCATTGCTGCAAGGCCTGGGGTGTGCCCCTAAGAGAGGTGGAACCCATTGGCCTAGCTAGCATCTATGTGTGTGTGCCTGTCTTTGTGTCCTGTCCCCAGTCAGTGGAAGCCGGATGAGGAGCCTGGGCCCCAAGCCTGGCCCCCCAGGGAACGAGCAGCCCTTCAAGAGGAGCTCAGTGACATCCTCATCTACCTGGTAGCATTGGCAGCCCGCTGCCGTGTAGATCTGCCCCGAGCAGTGCTCTCCAAGATGGACACCAACCGGCGACGCTACCCAGTGCATCTGTCCCGCGGCTCTGCCCGCAAGTACACAGACTTGCCCCATGGGGCCACCTCTGAAAACCAGGCTGTGGGGCCTGCAGACCTTGCCTGTGAGTCCACAGGTCAGGCCTCAACCTAGAAACATGGGCACAGAACCTGCAACTCAGCGCGGCATCTGAGGAGCAGAGGGTGCTCCAGCCACGCTACCTCATTCTAGTCCTTTCCTAACAGATCATGGGCCTGGGGGCTACCCTTCTTGAGGTCTGAGGCCCAAGAACCTCCAGTAGGTAGCCTTCTGGTTTTTTCTCTCTCAATAAAAGTTTTGGTTAGCAACTTCTGGATTCTTCCTGGGGCAGCTGGGGAGGCTCTCTGTCTCAGCACATGCTGGAGAGGGGTACCAGGGATACCTGTGAGCCCAAAGCCCATGTTTCTCTATTATACTTCCCACCTGCAGAGCAGAGAGATCTGATTTCTAGTAAGTTCTCTGTCTGACCTCATGCAAGTAAGTCCCTTCCCCTTCTCTAAACAAGACTGGAGGCTTTATGTAGTGTTGGATAAGAGCCCAGGTTCTGGAGCCAGGCTGTATGGGTTCAAATGCCATCTTTGATACTGGATGATGTTCTGGATTATATTGGCATCTTTCTGTGCCTCCATTTCCTCATCTAAAATGAAAATAAGGGACTTCCCTGGTGGTCCAGTGGTTAAGACTCTGCGCTTCCACTGCAGGGGGCATGGGTTCCATCCCTGGTCGGGGAACTAAGATCCCACGTGCCGCACAGCCAAAAATAAATAAATTAATTAATTAAATGAAATGAAAATAATGTTATCTTAAGTTATTCTAAGTAGAGTGCTTAAGACAGTGTAAGTTTGCAGTTGTCATTATCTCTTTGCTTTTTCAACTCAAAACTTTCAGGGGCCCAGAGCAGGAAATTTCAACAGTTAAGGCAGGTGTGGGCCTTGTCCATCAGGACCCCAGCCCTGTGAGAGCTCTCTGCTCCTCTCCCTTGGCCCCCAGCACAAATCAGGGCCAGGTCTGTCTGATATGAAGCAGAACAGGGCTTCCTCTCTTTTGGGGCTTGGACCCCTTAGCCCCCTCCTTCTCTCCCAAGGCCAATTTGCTTGTTCCATTTCTACACTTGAAGATAGTGTTGGGTATGTATGATTCACCCGTTGTGTGACCCCAGGAACATCACTTTCTTTTCAGAGCTGCCCAGGGAACTAGCAGCCTGCCTCCTTCACAGGGTGAAACCTGATTCCACATCAGTAAAATAAAGCATTTCCCTTTACTGGCCTCACTCTTATTAATGACGTCACTTCCTCTTAGCCAGTGACCTCTCTTATTTCCTAGGTAAAAGAGAATCCATCAGATTGGAACTGCTTTAGCTTTATCTTCCCAAACCCTCCTTTCCTCTGCCCACCAGTGATAGCAGGAGCCTTAACTTATTGATCTTATTTCATCCTGTCTCCTTGATCAATTATCTCCTCTCTCCTCCATATAATCAAAGTCTTTTCCTTTCCATTAGCCCTTCCCATTAGTACATAAAGCATACTTGAGGGCAGTGGTTGAGGGTTCGCCTGCCGATGAAGGGGACATGGGTTCGTGCCCCGGTCCGGGAGGATCCCACATGCCACGGAGCGGCTGGGCCCGTGAGCCATGGCCGCTGAGCCTGCGCGTCTGGAGCCTGTGCTCCGCAACGGGAGAGGCCACAATGGTGAGAGGCCCACGTACCGCAAAAAAAAAAGCACAAAAAAAGCATACTTGAGTCTCTTTTCTATTGACAAGGCGAAACCAACAAAACTCCAGCTACTTCCCTCATGCTTTTCACAGCCAAACCTCTTGAAATGGATCTACGCCGATCCACTCTGCTTCTTCGTTCTCTCATTTCTACCCTAACCCACTCAGCGCTGGCTTTCACCCCCCACCCCTCCACTGAAACTGTTCTTATCAACTTCCCCGAATTCACACACAGTGGACACCACAGCAGCATCTGACTGAGCTAAGTTTCCTCCATAAAACACTTTCCTCTAGATTTCCCAGACAAGACACTTCTGCTTTTCTACCTCTGGCTATTCTGTCACAGACTCAAGTTCTCTACTACCCTCTTCTGGATGTGGTGCCATGCCCTCCAGACCTGATATCCCCAAGGTGGTACTTCCAATCACCTCCCTGACCCGTCCACATTTACTTCACACTCAATGTGTCCAGGTTGGGGTGTAACAATTGCTGCTACTTCAACTCTGGTCCTGCTCCTCATCCTGTGTCCCCATCTCAGTGACACTGCCTGCGGTCACCCAAGCTTAAGAAATGAAATCAGCCCCATCTCTCCTTCCCCACGTCCACTTTAACTCCTATTAATTGTAGCTCAATAGGCCATATGCCTCCCTCCCCTGTAATCCCTCAAGGCTTCTTTGTGGCCTTGGAAACTTTAACCTGGCTTCCAGGGTCCTTAGTGGTCTGTCTCCTGCCAACGTCCTTGCTTGTTGTCCCTGCCTTCCACCCCAGAGGACATCTGCAAGCTCTAACAAGTCTGGCATGCAGGTTCAGGGGTTCTCTCCATACATCCCCAACCCCACTCTCTTAAGACCAGCTTAAATGCCACCTCTGAGAAGAGCCTCTCTAAACTCCAAGATTGCACTGAAGACCTCTCCTATCCAGCAACTCCCCCATCAGAGTTCCAATGACAAGGGACTGCACTCGCCTGTGTACTTGTCCCTACTGTGCCATTCACTGGCTCTCGGTACCTATTTACTCATCTGCAGAAATGGAGGTAAAAGAGTTACCTCACTTTGGGATGCTTTGAGGATGAAAATGAGCTAATAATAATGTAGCACGGAAGTTCTTTAACCTAGTGCTAACGTTTCCACTATTGCTTCTCTTTACTAGACCAAGTTCCATGAGGTTCATGCCGGCTCACTCAAAGCTCTGCAGAATGCAGTGCCTGTTGATCACAAATGCGCTAAATTTATGGACCCTTCTAGGTCTGAGGTCATGAAGACATAACCAACGGCCAAGCGTGGAATGACTCCACACACACACAAAACCAGTTCCGGGAACACTTTTGGGCTTATAGCCCCACTTGACTCCATGACAATTCACCTAAATCACCTAAGCCTGGAGAGACCCCCAACTTTCCTCCTAATTCACACCCCACCCACCTCATTCACAGGCACGGGTGGGGTGAGGATATAATACTTTATTCACTCTAACACGGGCCGAGGGGATGTAATGAGGGGGAGGTGGGCGCGTTTCCAGGGCCCCCGGTAGGGGATCCTCCCTGTCTCCCAGTTCCAGGGCAGCCAGGCCCGCCGTCCCACCCTATCTGAGACGCAGGAGGCGGGGCGGGGAGTTGTCCAGGTTAACGCAGCCCCAGGTCGGGATACTAGCGTGCCCCTCCCCAGCTCGCACCCCGCGGAGACAAGAATGGCGGTTCAACTGCCCTCACAATCTGGGCAGCGCTCAGTGGCAGTGGCTCCGGCGGGTAGCTTGAAGTCCCGGCCGCAGCCCGCGCAGATGTAGAGACGGCGCCTCATGTGCGCGCGACGGTGGCGGATGAAGTGAGAGCTGAGGCGGAAGCGCCGGCCGCACTCGGCACAGGGGTAGGGCCGCTCGCCTGTGTGCGTGCGCGCATGCTCCGCCAGGTTGGAGCGGTGGCCGAAGCCGCGGCCGCACACGGCGCAGCGGTGCGGCTTCTCGCCCGTGTGCACGCGCCGGTGCTTGGCCAGCGCCGAGCTCTGAGCGAAGCGCGTGCCGCAGTCGGCGCATGCGTACGGCCGCTCGCCCGTGTGCGTGCGTCGGTGGCGCGCCAGACACGAACTGCCGCCGAAGGCGCGTCCGCAGTCCGGGCACGAGTACGGCTTCTCGCCCGTGTGCACGCGCAGGTGCTGTGCGTAGTTGGAGCTCTGCGCGAAGCGGCGGCCGCATTGTGCGCATGCGTACGGCTTCTCGCCCGTGTGGCGCCGCCGGTGCTGCCGCAGGTTCGAGGCGGCCGAGAAGCGCTTGTCGCATTCTGGGCATTCATAAGGCCGCTCGCCTGTATGCGTGCGGCTGTGTTTGGTCAGCGCTGACTTCTGCGAGAAGCGCCGCCCGCACTCGGTGCACGCAAAGGGCCGTTCGCCCGTGTGTATGCGGACGTGCTTGGCCAATGTGGAGCGGCGCGCAAAGGCACGGCCGCAGTCCCGGCACGCGTGTGGGCGCGCCGGGTCCGCCGACGGCGCTGGCGCCTCGTTCGGGACCTGCGGGGAGAGGGGACAGGGGACAGGTCATCCCTGACCGAGAGGCTCGGGAGCCAGAGACCTGGGGCTCTGCCGGCTGCAGCCTCTCCGTCCCCCGTTTGTACAGTAGGAAAAGCCACGGGGTGCGCCTCTCAGGTCGGTTGTGCGCGTTAAATGAGATTAACATAAACGCACATAGCACAATGCCTAGTGTAATTCTAGCTATTCTTTATTAATTCATCCAGTATTTATTGAATGCGTACAATGTGCCAGACTCTGTTCTAGGAACTGGGGATTCAACATTAAATTTTTTAAAAAATTCCTAGTTTCAGGAAGAATGGATAAGGAGTGCTGGTATTGGAGGGGGTGCTGCAAATTTAAATAGGGTTGAGGAACCTCGCTGATGTCACATGAGCGAAGACCTAAGGAGGTGAGAGAGCAGGTTCCAGAGGGAAAAGCAAGGCCCTGAGGCAGGAGTTTTCCTGTTCTAGGAATGGCCAGAAACAGTGCTTAGGGCTGAGGGCAGGAGGAGAAGAGTAATCCATGGAGTGGTCCTGAAGGGGATATCTTAGCAAAGGGCCTTGCATGTGAATGAGGTGAGGACTCAGTAGAGATGTTAGATGGTTTTGAGCAAGGAGGGGAACAGATTAGACTCATATTTTAAAAGGCTTCAGGGGCTTCCCTGGTGGTGCAGTGGTTAAGAATCCGCCTGCCAATGCAGGGGACAAGGGTTCAAGCCCTGGTCGGGGAAGATCCCACATGCTGCAGAGCAATTAAGCCTGTGAGCCACAGCTACTGAGCCCACATGCCTGGAGCCTGTGCTCCGCAACAAGAGAAGCCCACGAACCACAACAAAGAGTAGCCCCTGCTCGCCGCAACTAGAGAAAGTCCGTGCGTAGCAATAAGAACCAACGCAGCAAAAAAAAAAAAAAAAAAAAAAAAATAATTAATTAAAAGAAAAAATGAAGGAGGGAGGGGGCAGGAACCCAGTGAGGAGGCTACTGTACTGCAAGCCAGAGAAGACAGTGGCTTGGACCCAGTGACAAAGTTGGGAAGTGAAGGTGGTGAGAAGTGGTCTTGCTTCTGGATATATTCTGCAGTTTGAGACAGCAAATTTGATAGTAGATTAGACATACGGTGTAAAGAAAGGAGTAAAAATGACCCCAAGGATTTTGAGCTTAGCAACTGCAAAGGCGGAGCTGCCATCTACAGAGCTGAGGGTGGAGGGAGGCGCAAGTTGGTACCTACTATCCGTTTCTGATCTTATCTGCAGTTCTCCTTGACACATCTGGAGCTCAGGAGAGAGGCCCAGGCTGGAGATGTTAACTGGGAAGGCATCAGCGTGGAGGTGGTTTTTAAAGCGTTGAGACTGGATGAGTTTGCCCAAGGAATAGGCAGAGAGAAATGGGGGTGGCAAGACAAAAAGCAGCCAGCAAAGGAGACTGAGCAGAAGCAGCCAGTGAGGTATGAGACCCAGGAGAGCACAGTGTCTTAGAAACCAGGCCACCATCAAGTCCAGGCTCTCTAATAAACTTTCAAGAGCAAGCAACCTATCATTTTTTTAAGCTGCAAAAAAGGCAGCCAGGGTGAAACCCAAATACTATTCTGAGGCCTGAAATGAAAAAAATTCAAAAATAAGCCAGTTTCATGAGGTCTGGGCCTCTGGAGATAAAATCAGAAAAAGAAATGCTTTATAAGAGGCAGATGAAGGGAAAACAGTTGGTACTAACAGTAAAGAGGAATATATACTGAGGGAACACTGCTTCCTTCTTAGAAAAGAGAAGGCTCATCCTAGCAAAAGTGGTGCTGAATCTCTACTATGGACTAAGCAAATAGGATATTAATTCATGACCAAATGAAAAACCAGGCACATATTAAGGATAAGACAGTGTTAGCTTCTTTCTCCCCATATTCCATCTCCACCAAGTGATTATCATTATTCTTCTTCTATAGATAAGGAAACAGGTTAAGAGAGGGTAAATGACAACTAGGGAGTAGCGAGGCCTCTTCCTTCTGAAGTTGTAAGGAGGGCACCTTCAGGGCCTTCAAGATCCTTTGTTAAAAAGACAGTAGCTTTTTGGTAACCACCTCAGAAATTTGAAAACAAGGCAGTTTGGGAAACTGGTCACCAGCCAAGGGAACTCTGGCTTAAATACTATTATCATGATAATGATAATAATGATAACATTACAGTGTAAAGATTTGACAGTGCTGTTATGTACATTATTGTATTAAATCTTCCTGTCGCTCCCCCTTGAGTCAGGCATTATCTTTTGAGAAAACTGAGCTCAGAGAGATTAAATTCACATAGCCAGTGGGAGTCAGGTCTGACCTTAGAGTTCTCACCCTTAACCAGTAGGCTACACTGCTTCCCTGCACACACAGCATGAAGATGTGACAGCGGCTGGACTCCAAGTGCCTGGCACTCTCCAAGAGGGATTCAAGGTTAAAATACAACTTGATACTTTAAATCGAGAAACTCCCCACAGCAAATTCGGCAGTCTGAATTCAAGGTCACACTTTCCAGTCTTGCCCTGGTTTTGACATCTATTGGGTTTATTTCATCACGTCAGCCATCGTGGAGAGAATTTTTCTCATTACATCTATATTTTTCTGGCCCGTTTTTCTTTGGCACCCTTTAAGGTGACTTTGACCAGCCTGAGGACTTCCTTATGCTGGATTCACTATCTTGTGAAAAAGAAATTCTTCACACAAGTACCCTTGGTATCTCCAGCTCCAGGAGGAGGGGCCTTGGGTGCCCTAGGAAGAATCTTGGTAAGAGGGGCTGAGTCTAGCTCATTAAGACCCCAGGCAAGTCCTTCCCTTCCCCTGCCTCAGTGAACCAAGGAAGGCAAGGTAGGCTAGGTGAGATCAATATTTCCCGACTTGAGGTATGCACATCACAGAATGCGAGAGGATTCTAAGTGTTGGCGCAGGCTAACTCTTACTATGATCATTATGTATTTATTTTCATGGATATTAGAAAAGCAGCAGATCACATGAAACCCACAATTTCATCAGTATTATTGCTCAGATGAGGGTAAGTTTATTTAACAAAACAATGTGAATCTATCTGAAGAAGAGCATTAAATAAATGAGCAAACAGGTAAGTGACTGAAGCTTGGCAAATACCAGACTTAAATGCCTTTTAAGTTCTACAGCTGTTAGATTTAAAAATTAGAATACAGGGTATCTGCACTATAACATGAGGGTACTAGGGGGATACAGGTAGTATAAGAATATGATAATCCAAGTATTTAAAGTTAGTGATTTTGGGACTTCCCTGGTGGCGCAGTGGTTAAGAATCTGCCTGCCAATGCAGGGGACACAGGTTTGAGCCCTGGTCCGGGAAGTTCCCACATGCCCCGGAGCAACTAAGCCCATATGCCACAACTACTGAGCCAGCGCTCTAGAGCCCAGAAGCCACAACTACTGAGCCCATGTGCCACAACTATTGAAGCCCACGTGCCTAGAGCCCGTGCTCCACAACAAGGAAGCCACCGCAGTGAGAAGCCCCGCTCACCACAACTAAAGAAAGCCTGAGTGTAGCAACAAAGACCCAATGCAGCCAAAAAATAAATTTATTTTAAAAATAAATAAATAAAAATAAAGTTAGTGATTTTGTCTTCCTGCTTAAGGTGTTTTTGTTTTTGTTTTAAACCAGAGCAAACATTCCAATTTTTTCCTCAGCCATTACTTTTCTAATTAATAACAATAATTACCATTTACTGAGCACTCACTACATGCCAGGAAGTGTGGTAAGTGCTTTCCACCCATGTTCTTATTTTAAATTCTCACAACCCTTTGGGTTAGGCTATATTAGCACCATTTTAAAATAAGGATATAAGACTCAGAAGTAAGTGACTACCAAGGTCCTACAGCTAATCCATCGGCAGGGTCAGGGTTTACACTGGAAGTCTGTCATTATCTAAAACACCTCTTCTCTCATAGAATGATGCAATTCTATCTCACTGACAAGCTTAAGGTTACCTACACAGTTTGTCTACCTCACCTGGGCTTTTTAAGCTGTCAGAATCTCCCTTCTTTCGAGTACAGAGTATAAAATACAATCCCTATCCTCTCGCTCATTGCTAAAGCAAGTGTGGTCCACAGACCAGCAGCATCAGCATCACTGGAAACTTGTTAGAAATACAGAATCTCAAGTCCCCCCCATACCTACTGGATCAAACTCTTCAGTTTAACAAGATCCCCAGGTGATATGTACGCATGTTAAAAATGAAGAAACCTGATCTAGGAGATGCACTACTCCCAGGGAAAGCAGGTGGGAAAGGTGAAGAGGGTTTTACAGGCTGGAAGACCACATGGGCAAAGTCTTCGAGGTAAGAAGGGTCAGGTGTGTTTGAAGCTGGGGCATGGGATGGGTGCTGAGTGACTAGAGATGAAGCCATGAGGTCAGACGATGAAGACCTTTGAATGCCAGGCGCAGGAGCTGAGGGAAACAGAATACCACTCCAAGGGTTCAATTTTAAGCAGGGAGAGACAGGACTGGATGTACATAGAGCCCTCTGACAAAACCCTTCTACTCATTAAAGATAGTTTGGATTTTAATAGGCAGTGAGAGAATACTCCAGCTACTGAGTGCAGCATAATTAAGGCCTGTTCTGGACAATGACCGGCCATGGGACTGGGTGAGAGCTGAGAGTCACAGAATGCTGACACTAGAAGGAGCTTTGGAGACCACTATTTCATAGAAACCAAGACTCAGGGAGACCACACAGCAAGTTGATGAGCTATCTTGTGGGCACAGTGCTAAATCTTTGTGGGATGTGTGTGTGTAACTCTCATTTCCACCCTCCTCCAAATCCAGTCACCCACGTGATACTTAGACTGGATTTCAAGGATCTTACTTTCATTATCTCATTTTATAGATGAAAAGGCTGTCGAGGCAAAACTGGTAAATAGTGGTTAGGATTTGAGCCAATGCTTTTAACCGCTACATGATACCATTTAGAGTCTAGCTCTACAGCCTTTTCATGACTAGCCATGCCTACACCCACCCTTCCCATCCTTAGCTCCATCCAGTCCAATCAATGTTCCCCCAAACCCCCCTATTTCCATCTTCTCTCCCCTGCTGCCACTACCTTAGAGCAGGCTACCAGCCATACCTGACCTGGTCTCCCCACAGCAGCCCACGATTCTTCTAAATAGAAAATCTGATCATGTCTCTCCTCTGATTTGAGGCTTCTGATGGCACCGCATAACCTAACAGAGTATGTCCAAATTCCTAAGCTGGCTTTCAACACCTTTTACTCTCTGTCCCTGCCTACTTCTTTGGCCTTATCTTCTCTGAGCATTTGCTTTTGCTGTTTCCTCATCCTGGAATGCCCTTCCTCCTCCTCCATTTGCCAAATTCCCACTAAGTTTTCAAGGCCCACGTCAAAGTCATTTCCATGAAGCCTTCCCCACTGCCTTGAGTTATTTGCCCTCAATTCTCTGTCTAGGCCTCCATGTTCTAGGTTTCCCTGTTCACTCCCAGCCTCAGGATTCAGCCCAGAAAGGCCTTGATAAAAATGAGTAGAAAAATCTCCAGAAGGATGACCTAGCCCAAGGTCCTGAACTTTAGGGAGAAGAATGAATAATAGCAGCAAATACTTACATAGTGTTTATTATGTGCCAGACACAGTTCTAACTCTTTACATGTATTAACTCATTTAATCCTCCCAACCCCAAGAAGTAGGTGCTATTACGATTTCCCTTGTACCAGTGAGGAAACTGAGGCACAAAGAGGTTAAACTTGCCTAAGGTGACACAGCTGGTAAGTGACAGAGTTGGAAGTCCACCCTAAACTCTGGAGTCTGAGTTCTTAACTTATAGGCCAAAGGTGGAGACCGGGGGATTCACAGGGCCGGAAGAGGCAGGCTGAGCTAGGAGGATGGGCCAAGGAGGCCTGAGAAAACAGAACTAAACGGGCCACGGCAGTGAAAGCGCAGAGTCCTAACCACTGGACCGCCTGGGAATTCCCTAAATAGTTATTTTGACTGGAAGAGGAGGCCACAGCAGCCAGCCCCCTCCCCCTAGGGCCCACCACACCCACTAGGGGGCAGCAGAACTTTCTTTTTCTGGGAACTGGTGCCTGTGCAGGAAGAAATCAGAGGGAGCCTGGGCCCACAAATCTGGCCCAGGAGTCCTCCTGCTGGACTCAGGGCTGCTCTGGCTGTGGGTGGGAGTCCTGTAGGGTTTTGGGAAGTAGAGCTATACCTAGTGGCAGTTAGGGTCTCTAATGGGTAAATCTAACTCATATTTTGATCTTAAAACTCCTCTCTTTAAACCTTCAACACCCTTGTCAGTCTAACCCTGCTAGACATCAAGCTCCTCGAGGAACCGAGGAGAGCATTTACTACTCTCCAGCACCCAGCACAGAGCCTGGCACAGTAGGCGTGACATCTGTATGATGGCAGCATGGACTGTGGGACAGAAGGATGGGTGGCCAACCCTGAGAGTCAAGGGAAAGTAGGGACAGGATCCCTGGATTCTGTGTGAGGGAGGCTGGACCTGCACCAGGTTTAGGGGCGAAGGGACCCCAGGGTGTGGCACACGTACCTCCTTGTTGTCCATGGGGATCTTGAGTTTCACCACTTCATACTTCTCTTCACCCTCATCCTCCTCACCCTTCACCAGCAGCACCATCTCTTCTTGCATCTCTTCCTCCTCCTCCTCCTCTGTCTGCTGTTCACCGGGCATCTTGGTGTCCTGGGGCAGGGAGCTGAGTCAGAAGCTCAGGACCCGCCCCCCCACCACGGCTCTGGCCCACACATGGCGGTGCAGCCGTGGCTTCTCCTGTGATCTTTGTGTCTGACCTTCTTCCCTCTATCCCAGCCCGGCCCTAGGCCCCATCTCTATCCCGGGACCAGCTCGGAAGACTCTCGTTCACCCCACTCATCCCGGCATTCAAGGCCCTGAACACTTCGAATCTCTAGCCCCAGTGAGTCACCACCCTCCCCGCGCTGAGTCACTCCTCGGTGCCTGAGTCCGCGGCCCGGAGCTCTAGGGCACGGGCTGGAGGCAGGATCGGGACGGAGACCCTGAGGGGGTGCGCACTCACCAGCCACAGGTTCGGGCGCTCGAGCTGCCCCAGGCCAGGGCGCCGGGCGGTTGGGCAGTCTGCGACGCCGCGACTCCGGGGGCGGGGAGTAGGCGGGGCCTCGGTGACGACTGGCCATTGGTCAGAATACCTAACCCCGCCCCTAGGGGAGGGGCCAGAGGACCCAGGCGTCCGGCCCAAACTGCCCCGGGAGGGTGGCGAGCCCACACCCAGTGCCTTCCGCTCAACTCCGACTCCCAAAGACCCCGGGCTGCCCTACTCAGTGTTCAAGGTCCTCACAGTCCGGTAGTGACCTACCTTAAAGGCTCGTCTCCTGCGGCCGGCTAGGAGGTCTCAGCTGCGGCCAAGCGCTTCTGCTCCGCCCGAAATAGGCCACGTGCGCTCCCGCCCCTGCCTGGGCCTCTCGCTGGCGCCCCGCCTGGAGGGCGGACCCTGTTGCCTCCTCACCTCTTCCCTTCCCTGTTTTTGCTTCTTCTCCCATCTTTTCTCCTTTCGCAGCGTCGCCTTCACGGTCTCATGGTCTCTGGGATATCTTGCTCCTTGCATACATACTTACCAACAGCCACCCAAGCAACCGCTGCTGTTTGTTGCGTGGTGTGCCTCTTATGCGCCATCGTTATGCTAAGCCTTTTGCACATCTGATCTCGATCCGCACAAAGGTGGGTCCATTTCACAGATGAGGTAATTGAAATTCACAGATGAGCTAATTGAAGCTAACTGACTTGCCTAAGTTACACAATAAGTGTTGTCACAGCATCCCCAGCAACCCAGTAGCCTAGGTGGAAAATTATAGCACACGGACCAGATCCAGTCCACAGAAGTATCTTATTTGGCTCTCAAGTTTAAAAGTTAACTTCAAAAGAAGCACGAGAGGTCTTTTACAAAATTTAATTTCCAACATTTAAAAATTGAGATATTTCATGTAAAGATCTGTATTTTCCCACTTCTCTTGAAAAAGATACCTAATTCTCCTAATTTATGAATGGGGCAACGAAGATTCAGAAATGATGAAAGAGAAATTACATTCAGTAAGTGCTTACAATCCCTAGTTGTCTCTTTACAACAACCCTGTGGGGATCAATCATATTACCTTCCTTTGACAAATGACGGAACTAAAAACTTAAGTAATTTGCTCAAAGTCACATAGCTGGTAAGTAGCCAATTCCAAACCGCATGCTCTTCCTGTTGCACCAAATTCTCTCTCAGAAATGAGGTTACATGAGGAAATTGGTAGCAGAGCCAGGACTCAAGCCTGATCCTCAGTCTGCAGAGCCCATAACATAATTTGGATGTTGGGATTACATCTGGTCAAAGTTTTGCTCTTCCTCAGAGCTGGGAAAAGGGGGTAAATGAGTGTGATACTAACCCTCAGGATCCCGAAAGCCACTTTGATTGTGTTAATTCTCTCATCAAATATTTATTGAACCCTACTATGTACCTGGCACTATTCTAGATATTGGAGATGCAGTAGTGAACAAAAGAGACAAAAATCTTAGCTACCATGGCACTTCTCAAGGTGTAAAAAATGTCAACAAGTAAATAAGATAATTTCAGGTAAGGATAGGTGTAAGAAGGAAATAGGGCCAGATGATGCAACAAGGAGTGGCTATGGTTGGGAGCTTCTTTAATGTGGGCAGGGAAGGCATCTCTTAGGATATAATATATGAGATGAAACTTGAATGATGAGAAAAACTTAGCCATTTGAAAATCTAGATGAAGAATGTTCTAGACAGAACTACAGAGACTTTAAGGTGAGGTTAAGCTTGGCATGTTTGAGGAAAAGAAAGAAGGCTTGTATGTCTGGAGCCAAGTGAGTTAATGGAAATGTAGTGTGGGAGCTGGAGAAGAGGCAGGCAGGGCCAGATTATGGCAGGAACTCTAGCGAAAGGCAAGGCGTGCTTCCCGTAATTCAGAGAATCAGTGAGGAGACTCAGCTGGGAGCAGCGAAAGTCCCTACTGGAAGGTCCTCCTACTGTGGGAGGACTTTGGAACAGATGCTTGCAAAAGGGGGAACATGTACAAGTATCCATCTGGAATCAGAGCTAGTTCTTGTTCTTGAGAATCTCACAGTCTAGTAAAGAAGGTGATTTCAATAGGTGTTCTGACAGCTCCCTGGAAGGGAGTGGATATTGGGTGCAGGCCTCACCAAAGAGATAAATGTAAAGGACCTTCAAAGATGAGTGGGAGTTTGCCAGATGGACAAAGCGGTAGCAGTTTGTGGGACTGTAAACTCTCGTGAAGAGCACATCATGTTCCAAGGACATCGTTCACCAAAGTATTGAGTGAGCCTTATTGTGTGCCAGGCCCCTTTTAGGACTGGGAGGTAGAAAGTTGAATTTGGAAGTTTTTATCTTACTTTTCACTATTCTGCATTTCACTATTTGCCTTCAGCCTCACTAGAAGTTTACTTGAGTTCTTGAATCCCAAGGACTTGGTGCATAGAACACACCATCTGCCATCCCATCTCCCACCTCCTCCTTTCTCGGCTTGTTCCAAATCATTCTTTACGTCTTAACGTAATTGCCACTTCTTTGGAGAGGCATTGAATCATGTGGGAGTCTCTCCTGCATGCCTGCTTCCTGCATAGTCTTTACCACGCTTGAAAATATTTGTTCAATGTCTAGCTTCTGCGTAGAAACTGAGGGCAGAAACTTTGTCTTATTCATCTTTCTATGCCCAGTACCCAGCACACAGTAGGTAATGCTGTTGAATGTCTCTTTATCCTAAAGAAGCTCTCGATGTGTTAAGGGAGCTTAACACATCAGATGAAGGGGGTTCTAACCCAGGCTGGAGGTTTAGGGAAGGCTTCTGGGAGGAAGTAACACTTGAGGTGTTTGGATAGGTTAACACGTTGGGAAGGGGGGCATTCCAAGTTACAAAAACAGAATATTTAAGAGGCACGGGTCTGAAACCACACAAGTGGAAGGCCTTGAATGCCATCTAGGAGTTAAGTTTTATAGAGAGGACATGCGCATATACGGCAGGGTTTTTAATAGGGGAGTGAAGTGGTCAGATTTTACAAATTTCACTGCAGGCTACGTTGGAGGCCAACCTGGTAGGGAGGTAAGACACGGCAACCAGCCGGGAGAATCTTCCCAAAGCCCCAAAGGCCTCCATTCAGGTTTCCCAGCTTGGTGGGACCCTGGCTGGGGCTGTGTTCCAGTGGTTCCAGGGGTGTGATCCCCAGTATCTGTACTCTGGGCAAGGTTGCCTTTGGGGAGGGGGTGGGGTGCCTGTGTCTGCAGCCCATCTAATGATGCAGAGGGGTAACCAAGGTTTGTATATTAACATTTATTAGCACCTCAGTGCTATGCCTATGGGTGTTTGTGTGCACTTAGGACAGAAGCCGCTGAGAACTCCAGGCCTGAACTCAAAATTCTGGGATTTCGAATCTGTTTAACAACTTGGCAGGGGTGGGAGGACTGGGAGGAGCCGCGCTGCAGCAAGCTTTCATTGGTTTCTAAGGAAGCCCGGCCGACGGTTAAGATGTCGCGAGAGCTTCTACCTGGTGACCGTTCCCGCACGCAAATTAGCAGAGACGCCAAGCCTGCGAAGTTGTAGGGAGTCTTGTACTTTATTTCTTAGATGGGTGAACCGCCCTAGTCTTTTTTGTCCCTGGCCAATCAGGTCAGTTCCTTTTTCCCCTTCTTCCCTATTGGCGCCCTCCTCGGAAAGAGCTAGGAGTTGGAGTCCTGCACCTAATGACGCATGGATGGCTGGGAAATACGGTTGCCTTTTCTGGGGGCTAGAGACATCCCCTTGGCCCTGCCTTTGGGCTATGCAGCCAAATGACCTGTTTCTCGACAAATAAAAAAAGGGTCGCAGGGAGGTGGGGTTTCCCAGAAAGCAGAACATCAGTGTCGGGGTCTTCTGAGGTGGTACCAATTCCTGCCGGCCACTTTTCTCCCGGTACCTGTCGCCATAGCAACAGCGCTCGCAGAACACCCGCCCACCTCCCACCCCCAACGCTCCCACCGAGTGTTTTTCCTTTTAAGGGTCGCGCTCGAGCCTGTGGCGTAGGTGGCTCTTGTGGGCATCCAGAACTCAGGTCTGAGGCATCAGCTGACAGGCCTGGTGGCCGTTTTCTTAACCCGTTGTCAGAGCTAAAAAGCAGCTATGACAACCCAACTTTTTTATTTGACAGGGCTCAAAGAGAGCAAGTTTACAACATGGCTTATGGGTTTTGCCTGAGGCGACCCTTCGGCACCTTTTTCACCCCTCACCACGCACACACGCACACAAGAGTCCAAGCCTCAGACAAGAAGCAGTTTATTGGCGAGACACATGGAGATGTGGCTGTCAGGCCTTGGTGCTTCCCTGGCTTCTCCTCACCCCTGTACTGCCCTTCTCCCAGTGTATCTCTGCTGCCGTCCACCAGGACCTGGGCTTAGCACCCAGGGCAGATGACTGCTCTTTTTGCTGTCTCTGACCTATTCTGCCATGTCCAGGTGTCAGGGCAGTTTGGGCTTCTCCAGGGCAGATAGGTCTGGCCTCTCCAAGTGTCCTCTTCCTGGCTAAGACCACGTCCAGCGGCCTGAGGCTGGGTACTGCCTGCCTCACAACGATACTCTCACCATCAGTAGGGTGGTCAAGATGGCCTTGCCTCACTCTGTCACCCTAAACCTCAGAAGTCTCATTGTTGCAGCTCACAGGTCTAACAAACCCTGGTTCAGGGTGCTGGCCTCCCAGGGGCAAGGTTGGGAGGGGTCAATTTACAGGTTAAGAGGCAGCAGGA